CCCCCGCCCCTTACCACCTAACCCCCCCGCCACAAAAAAATGAAAAAAAACAGGGAGAATCCTTCCCCTGAGGCCGGGCAGCTTGGCGGGCCTGGGTGCAGCTGCCTGCTCTGCCCCACAGAGCAGGGGCTCCGCAATGCAGGGTACAAACTGCTCAGGACAAGGAGCCCGGAGCGGTATGCGGAGCGGTGGCAATTGCTAAGGGCTGCCGGAGCCCTGGCATGGCCAGGGAGGAAGCAGGGAAACGACAAGACTGCGGTGGCTCCGCGTGCGGGAGGGAAAGGGGCCAGGGAGGGGGGGCGAGGGGAGCTGCCTCTAATATCTGCATGTGCATTTTAGGAAAGCCTCAGATTGAGGTTTCCATTTGAAATGCATGTACAGAGTATGTCTTTGTCTGGGCCTTGTCCTCCCTCCTCCCCATGACCTTCCCCATGTCTTGCTAAGAGAAAAGAAATAGTGGCAGATGAAGATGGGAACCTGCTCCTTTTCCAAACCTATAACCTTTGGCTAGGCTACACTCTTAAATCACAAACATTTTGGAAGACCACCTCCCCCGCACTTTTGTATGAAACCATTAAGCTTTTTAAAGACACCGAGCAACAGAAAAGGCATTTCTTTAAGGACTCTTATGATTTTAGCTTTGTCTCTGACTCATTCCAACTCATGGGATGAAACTTGAGGACGATAGTCCCATCAGTGGGAACATTCACCAGCCTTCAAAGAATCAGCTTAATTTTAGTTCCTCTCTTTTAAGCAACTTTCTAGTTCATGAAATAGTTATTTGGAAACTTGAAGACCAATTCCAAAGACTTCAATGAAGCTCCAATGGAGTCAAAAGGAGGATATGATCCACATAAAAGGTTGTGAGAAACTTGTAGATTGAAAGAATTTTCAACGTACACTTTAACCAGAATCTGGTAATAGAATTAATTGTGCTTTCTCACAAATTAACGCACTGCTGCATTCTATGCCTATTGGCCTGAATATAGAATGAGCTGTTGTCTTAATGATCCTCTCGTGACAACTGAGCCTTGGGGAGCAGGAACCCGTCTCACTCGGTGCTTACGCATGGCGTATCTACAGCCATTGGCACCATGGCGACCAGGCTCCACGAGTCAGGCAGTCGGAAAGCACCTACTGCATCTCAAGCCATCTCAGCCTCCCTGACAAATCCACACGTACCCTGAGAAGGGGCAGCAGGAGGAGTGGCGAGCTGCAACGTCCGCAGTTTGCTCTAGGCTAGCGGGGTTCACGCACAGCTGCCGGGTCTGGCGCTCAGCAGCAAGTGGCCTTCGTGCTAAGCCGAACAGGTAGGAGGCATGGCTGGGGGGAGCAGCCATGGCCATGGGGGCACGCAGCTGTGGAGCCAAAGAGCTGCGGGAGCTCTGCATGGGGTTGGCAGCACGTAGGGATGGCAGGATGGGGCAAGCATGGCACCTGTGGAGCAGCTGGGGAGGAACGGAGCATGCATCGATGCATCGAGCTGGGCAGATGCAGGAAAAATACTAGGCCATGCAGAAGGGTGTGGTGTGAGGCCATAAGCAATGTCTGCAGTGGAACAGCATAGCAGGTGGAATTGCTAAAGTTTGGACAACCTCATGTGTCTCTTCTAAATATGAGGATCACACCTCAGGCGTGAGGCCATCTTATATTCAGGCCAATATTGTGGTAGTTTTTATCTTCTCCAAAGCTTCAAGTAAGCTACTGTCATATTAAATGTAACATTCATGGAGATAAGGAATTCCAGTTTTGTTTCTCTATCATCAAATTCAATTAAGCTGACTTTGAATTGCATTTAAGTGTCCTTAAAAATGCATCATTAAAACAAATATAATGTAGATTCAACCTTTGACAATGTTTTATTAAAAATGTGTATGCATTATTATCTCAGTATTATTTCTCAACAGATAGGCAATAACAGTATTTAACTCTGAATAGCAAATAACCACTTTCTTTTTCTTGTGGATGTATAGACTGAGCAATGGAGATAAAACTTAAAAAAACACTGATCCTCAAATATTACACTTTCCAAAGACCAGCTGAAAGAATTTTATGAGTAATATTGCCTGTTTGTGTCTCAACATATTATCACTTAAAATCCCCATTCTTATTGGTGCTTTCACAACTGTAGGATGAATGACTATATGCAATATCACATATAGCAAGCACATTATACAAAAGCTCATTTGTAATAGCATTTTAAAGAAGCATATACTTAAAGTAGGATTAAAGTAGCTTCTGTTTAATGCACACCTGATGTTTGTCCACTAAAGTCCTCAGATTTTGGTCTTAACCAGTTCCGCTGACTCTTCTTGGAGGAAACCAGAATCCAGTACTTCCCATTTTTACTGGTCTGAAAAACAAAAGGAAGAACAGACTAGACTCTAGTGAACTAGCATGTTCAGAAAGCCTGGGATGTGGCAAGACCAGGAGTCAGAAAGAATCAGAAGGGAAAAGTTAAAAGGGATAAATCTATCCCATGCAGAAAACATTATATACTGCTAATTATAAACAGTATGAATCAATTGTTCTTGCATGATCAGTAGCAATTATGCACTTTAAGGATACTTACATCATTTCAACTAATGCTATGCTGGATAGTAACACATAAACAGAAAAAAATAGACAAATGCAAGGGAGCTTTCAATAAAGTTAAAAACAAAATATTCACAGACAACAAATAATCTAGAAATAATAACAGAACACATAAAATGGTGGGCCCAGACTTGAGTTCTGTACTCAGAAAGACTGAATAAGAGAGGATTTCTGGATTAGGCCCAACTTTACTAGAACCTAATGCCTTCATTCTGCTTAATTATACAGGAAATGGCAGCTTAAAGATGACCTGCAAAGGAAAATAAAATTAATTTTTAAAAATAATAAAGCCTCTTAATAATGTACATGCTACAGGTAAATCCCAATACAGGGCAAGTCTAGGTGTGCCTGAGCAAATCCAGAGGGCCCTTCTGGAATTTCCCTTATTTCTCCCTTTTCTCCTCCACTATTCTTCTGTAAATATGCACTATGTCTTCCTTTTCTTGCTAGAAGGCCTTCTGGATAACACAGGTATGCACTGACAACATGTTCAGCACCCCACTGTCGGGGAGAGCTTCATCCCCTCCAACTCTTCAGCTATGTAAGGGCAAAACCCTAGAGAGAGCCCATACCCGAAGTGGCATATTAGGCTCCTCGTATGCGGCAGGAGGCCTTGAAATGATGCAGTGTTCCCCGCCCCCAGCGCTTTCTCGTTTCCCATCCACTCCTATAAAGAAGTCTTTATTTTGGTACTGAGCTCAATGTTGCACAGCTGAATCTCTGCTGGGCAGCAGGCATGTGAGCGAACCGGCAGGCTTGAACACCAAGGCACGAGCGCTTCGCCAAACCTGCAGGAAGCCTCCTGGCAGCCAAGAACTGCTATCTGGGGCTTCTTACAGCCAGGCAAGTGGTAGAGACTGCTCCATACTCAAAGGAAAACTGAAACCTCTGTTCTCAACTAATATTCAAGACAGAGGACATAATTCTCACCCCCTCTTTTGAAGGTCCCAAGATCACTTTATTCTGGAGAAAAATGATGATGACTCCTCAGTCCCTCTCCCAGCAAAACCTTTATGAGTTACCCTATGATACCTATCTCAACATCTCCCGCTATCACAACAAAAAGGAAAAAGTTTACTATCCGGATGTTTCTACTCAAGTAGCCCACGATAAATAGTCAATATTTAAAACAACACCATAAATTTAATGAAGTAAGTCCTCATAGATTTAGTTTCTCCACTATTGGTATTTACAGAACCTGTTGAAAAAAGAAATCTATTTAAGATGTTACAATGCCCCATCAACCCTGCAGAACATCATCTCTTGAACACTTATGATGTTCAATTCTTACTAAACATCTAAACTATCTTGAGCAAAAAACAGATGTACTCAGAAGTGGACCATCAGAGGTGTGGAAAGACTATCAAAGCAGGAGAAACTGTAGCCACTGCAGCCAGTCAATAATGACAGTAAAGGCCAGATGTATTTAAACACTGAACAGCATGAACGAGGAAGGTCAGATGCTCATGTTGACCACCTGAGAAATAAGCAACATTGCAGTGTCGTGGATTCAGGTAAGGGGAATGATCAGGACCATTATTACACCAAAGAGCTTAACAAGATACATAAAAAAAGAAGAGAAGCTTATACGCATAATGAAAACATCTGTTATTTTTGACAGAATTAAATAAAAACAGGAGATAAAGAAAAATCTTATGTTTTGCAGACATAAACTAGTTAAAAGATTGTCTCTTTTGGGCAGAATACCAGTGTTGTCTGTTACAATTATAATTTTAAAACCACCCTTCTCACAAGCTTTTGATGCTAGAAAACCTCTGCAGCAGAAGGCTGGACAAAGATGCACCATTCCTCCTAGAACTGCTTATAGCTATAGTATTACTAAGCTTTCTTCTCAACCAGATAAGTTGGGAACAATTTTAAAGTTTAGATTACTCCATGTGAAACAGAGAAGCATCACACTGCAAAATGTGCTGTCACAAGTACATGCCTAAAAACCCATCCGGAAACTTGTATCAAATAGACTTCTACTTTTCTGCTTCATAATTAATTACGAAAATTGCAGTCTCATAAATCAGCTTTTCTGTTATCTATGAGGCACTAGTTTTACCAACTGTCCAACTACCTAGATAATTTTACATTAGCCTGTACCAGATTTTCTAGCATCTAATATTTCTAACAGGCAAGGAAAAACAAGAAAACCCTAAAGCCCTAAGCGAAATACTTTATTCCTGCTTTTATTAATAAACAGGAGGAATACTCTCTTTTAAAAATCTGTAGGTCATCTCTGAGAGTCTGAAAAAATAGCTGTGCTTGAAAATGTTTTAAAACGTGATTTGATATGCGAAGCAAAATGATAATTAAGACATCAAATGAAGAGAAGCAACGATCCTTCTCCTAGCTTGCATTTCATATTCTTTTAGAGTAGGCAGTCACAATAAAGGAAAACATCAGTTTCATGGTTATTTTCTTTCAAAATAAGACATCTATAATGGGAATACAGTGCCCAGTGCCAGCTTGTGTCACTGTGTCTTCTACGCAGAAGAGTAAATCTAGTTTCGTCTGCTGAAATTAATCCGTCTGTAAACCAGAATAGTGGTCCTAGAAACATTAGTCATAATAATGACAGACTTAGAGGTATCAATGGCATTACAGACACATCCTCGGTTTTAGATGTTTCTTCAAGGAAACAAAAGGAAAAGTGATTACTTACCCTATGGTAACTGTGATTCTTTAAGAAGTGCTGTCCACACAGCTCCCCGGTGAGCATGTACTCACATGAACAAGACCAAGTTCTCTGAAGACAATAACATCCATCCAGGCCGTGCCTGTGACCCCTCACGATGACTACGATCAATGGTGGAAGACCAAAGGACTCCCAGACTGCTGTGCACATCCTCAGGGCACCTAACGTGGGGCGCAGCAGCAGCCGCTCCGGGCTCTGTATTTTATCTGTGCTGTGCAGTGAGAGCTACTATCAGCTGCTTAGAGAAGTGGCAACTTCCAGCTTCACTGCCTGCTCCCACATGGAAACAGTGACTGCAGCAATCCGAACAGCCCTGAACATGTTCTCCTACCTCAGGGTTTTGGATGCGGGATGAGAGGGAGTAGAGAAGGTTCCCCGTGAATTGCGTAAGGGACCAGGGTCCTAGTTTGGCACAGAGAGGGAAATAAATGGGCAGCAGTTGATGTTCTAACTGCAGGTTGGTTGTGAGGACAGGAAAGTGGAAACATGGACTGACCACTTGCTTTGGGGAGACATATAGTGAACATGTGCAACCTAGGAAGCCAGAAGCTGTGGCTGCTAATAGTGGTAACGGAGCAGACTAAGAGTGGGCAACTCCAGTCTAACCTGTCTCAAGTTTGCCACCAGCAAAGTGCCCTTCAGGATGAGGGACAAAAAGATCACTTGTGGAAGCTCTATGGAAAATGAGTCTGGATGAGCCACAACTGCCATAGCATAAGCAACTGCTCTTCTTTTCTGTGTCAGGTGCCTAAGAGTAAGAGCAGGAGAGCAAGAGTATAGACTGAGGTAACCTGCTCTGCGGCACAGCAAACAGTCAGTGTGACAGCAGTGCTGAAGAATTGCACCCCGGTCTGTGTGGCTCAACTAGGGCTATCAAAATTGTGCAAATGTCATCAGAATTATCAGGCAAGCAAAAAAGGAGCACCACTTAGTCTCAACCACAGGACTTGCTGTTTTCCCTGCCTCCCATTAGGCTCTTTGGTTCATGGAAGGTGAAGATTTGACTCTGATCCTCTTGAACACTTCTGCTGGGCCAACTGTTGGAAACGGCTGAAGGCAAAGGGGTCAACTGCTCACATCTCTACAGAAGAACACACTAGGACATAGAGCCCTGAAAGGCTCAAAGATCACTCCTATACGAAGAAGCACTGTGTCTATTGCACGTTTGCATTAAGCAGGGGATTAGCTTGGAAAAGTAGGTCTTAGTTCCTCCAACCTTACAGAAAAATAGTGGACCTCTATAGCAAGAGGCTCATCTCAAAGTAACTGAGTAGCCTAAGTTCTAGGCTACTCCAAGATTCTCCTTGCCAAGTGTAGGATTTCTAGAGATGCGTCTTAATTGGGAGCTACCTTCCTAACAGACAATCTCTGCTGGAAAAGTTGATCCCACCAACAGAAAAGTCAAACAGATAAGAAAAATGCATGCTTAACTGGCAAAGATGTTGAAGTGATAATGATGTTAGCGGTGACCCCCCCCTTGATGCCAGGGTCTATGTCACTATTTGTTCTTGCCTGGCAGGAGAAGGGAGGGTAGCAGGAGGTGTCTCTCTGACCTGTGTTCTGCTACCCATGAAAGCTCAAGCTTGAAGGAAGGGAGACATTGCTGGAGTAAGACTGTTAACCAGAAGATGGTCTTACCAGTGAGCCTGCCTAGGCCAGAAGAAGCTTGTACCTATGATTCCACAAAGTAACACTTTATTTATTTTTCTCCTCGCTTTATTGTGTAATTTGAACAAAACCTGAACAGTAAGAAACATGTACGCACATGTTTCTCCCTAAGCAAGGAAGACACCTGGCATGACTGCCTATAAACAAGACCCTGCCAAATTGTAGGAGGGACAGATTTCAAATCTTGCAGCCCTGCCTTTGGCCATCTTGGACTTTCGTATGGGAGGTAAAGAGAGGAACGGAGCCATCACATACATCTTACACTATCTTACAGCTATCTTATACTAGCAGAGAATCAGTTGGTGCTTTTATAGCTGCTCTTCTCTCACAAGTTTATAAAGAGACATGAAAGAAAAAAGAAACAGGGATCTACTCAGATGCTATGGTTGTGATGAGAGAGAATTGAGAAGTGGATGAAGTCACTTGGTCTTTTGGACAACATTTATTGTAAACGACTCAAACATGTAGGTCCTAGTCCTACTGTAGAGCCATGTTTCATTTAAAAGAGGCAAATAAATAAAATTTTTGAAAAATGTCTTTTTTAC